CCAAAATAAGCACTTTACAAACTGTAGATGTCTCTCTTGTCTATTGCAGCTACTGCTTTGTTAAAAAGAGACAAAACTGTTTTTGACAAGTGTGTGTCGATATTATAGATATTTGTATAACTATTATTTCTATAGTGGAATATAAATAAATAAATCAAAATAAAATAAAATATCTTTATTTCAGGCAACACAGGACCCATACAAGAATGTTAGTAACAGTGAAATGAAATATAACTTAAATCATAGTGTTAGTAATTAAATTAATTTACATAAATAATGATGACAAAATGTAAAATGTAAATGGAGATGTCTGAGACCAGCCGCCACGAGGGTACCGATGATTTATACCGTGGCATGTAGCCGTATGCAGCGCTCAAGCAACGGCGAGTCCCACCTATCTGCCATTGTGTTGAGAATGCTATTGGAGCTGCCACGCAAACGTTTCAGCATCGATGCAGCACGCTTTCTAATAATGGCGTGGAAACCATCAGTGCGCATTTCAGAAAACATTACTGACGCGCTGCAAAAGCGCGGCAGCCCCATCAGCATCCTACACCCATTATTATACTGGCCACGCAACGCGCTGTGCACCCGCTGCGTATAGTTAACCCATAGGTTGCCCGTGTAAAAAGACTGGCAGTAGGCTTTGAAAATGGTAATCTTTACCTGCCTACGAGCAAACCTACAGGCCACCATGTTACACCTGATGGATAGCGCCCTATGTTCCCGCTCGATATCCATATTATCACGCAGATCCTCGGTGACCCAGTGACCCAGATACTTAAAATGTGAGACACGCTTGAGAGGTGAGTTGTTGAGTGTGAAGGTAGTCGCACATGGTCGGGATTTTACTCCCGCCTTGAACATCATAAACTCGCTCTTTTTCACATTGTATCTGAGTCCATGGGACACTGCATATGCTTCACATATATTTAATAATTTCTGCATGGCACTAATCGAAGGGCTGAGTAGCACCAAATCATCTGCGTAACTTATGTTGTTAACACAAACACCATCAATATGACAGCCTACATTTGTGCCGCTCAACTCCTCGATCAGGCCATTGACATACATATTGAAAAGCCTAGGAGATGTAAGACCACCTTGCCTCACCCCACATTCAAGTCTATACACATCGGAGTATGAGTTCACCCATCTAACACAGTTGGTCTGCCGTTCATACCACGACCGTAGCACCGCGACTAACTCGTACGGCACATTAGTCTCACTTTGAAGTTTTTTCCATAATAAATCATATGACACCAAATCGAAGGCCTTGGACAAGTCAAGAAAACAGGCAAAGACTGGAGTGCTCCTATCAGTGTAGTATTTGACAGTTTGCTTGAGACACAAAATAGCGCTTTCGGTGGACAGACCTGGTTGAAAACCAAATTGTGCATCATTAAATTTTATATGACTACATAAGTGTTCATCAAGCAAACCGTCCAGCACCTTTGCCACCACAGTAGCCATTGAAATTGGTCTGTAATTTGTCAAGTCCGACGGATCCCCCGACTTGTTCTTAATAACTGGCACAACTATGGTTCGCATAAGGTCATCAGGCAGGTAAGAGTGGCTGAGACAGAGATTATACAACAAAGATAGGACCCTAGGTAGATGTATTCCCGCACACTGCAGATGCTCTATGCTGAGGTGGTCATGACCAGGGGACTTACCCCTAACCATGCCCTTAATTACGCGGTCCACATCCTTCGCCGCGAATCTAACATTAAGTTGGTCAGTACGATACCCATCATCACACATCGCAGCTGTAGGCCCAAGAGACGAGTCCACCCTGAAGTGAGCTTGGAAGGCCTTGGCTATCTCACTGTGCTCATGAAGGCCAGCGACGCTCACCGGAAGGCTCAATGTTAGGTTTAATTTATTTGTAGCCTTTCAAAAGCGCTTAAAGTCCTTACTAGCACTGTGTTGTGCAATCATATTCATTTTAATTTGTTGCTGATTATTTTGGCACCATTTCAGCTTAGACATAAATACCCTCCTAGATTCCACCATATTCACGTATACTGAACCAGCACTCGGCTTACCGTAGAGCTGCCAATTCTGTAGACAATCCCAAGCGTGCCGGTGAGCGTCCCTGACATGTTTATTCCACCCAATGACATGTTTGTTCTTTTTATTATTATTTTTACTTATACGATTACTACAAATTTTTGCACCTTGTGTGAGGATACTAATTATATTTTTGTACAATTTATCTAAAGTTTGTCTATAACTACTATCATAACACATTTTATCTGCACAACTCGTGAGTTCCAATGGAAAATTTACATTTCTAAGTTTAGAATGACAGTATTTCCTATATTTCTCTGTTTGAGAGGAATCCCTATCGCCCCATATTACATCATTAATGTTGTAGCTACCATGCACAACTTTAGGTATAATTACATCAATGTTTAATTTAATTACAATAGGGTAGTGATCCGACCAAAAGGTGTCATATATGACAGACACATGAGCCACTGTGTTCCGAGCGGCAGTCGTCACAATACAATGGTCGAGCCAGCGCCGACAGGCATGTGCATCACTCACGAAAGTGTATGTGTTCGCCAGCAACAAGTCCAAGTCTATACAAGACCAACATTGTTCAGCATAAGAGTTCATAAGTTCATAACAAAACCGCTCACCTGGATGTGCATTGAAATCGCCAAGTATGTACGCGGATTCAACGCCGCTGCTCTCTATAATGGCACTCACCTCACTGAGACACTCAGTAAACTCTGGTATATTTTCACTTGAATCGGTAGGCATATACACCGACACTACAAGGAACGACCTCTCTTTAAGAACTATTTTGATTGCCGCAAGCCGTACACTACTACACGCTATCACCGACACAGACGTAAGCAGGTTCTTCCTCCACAGGAGAGCTACGCCGCCGTACGGTCTCCCACGAAGCAACCCAGCCGAGATGTCCACTGCGGACACACCTGTGTAGGCGAAATCATCATCTATAGATCCCAGGAACGAAATATCATGAAGCAAGAGCCATGTCTCCTGCAACGCCACCACATCCGCTGTGCGACATATTCTTCTCACACAGTCTAACGATCTAATAACATTCTTGCAATTGAAACTAACGAGATTTACTGTTTGTGTGTTATTCATAGTCCAGAGATATTATTACTCGACAGACACACGATTTCTGAGCCTTTTTTCACCAAAGTTAATAAAACGGCGATAAGCAATTCCGTCAGGCCAAAAATCATCCTTCAAAAATATATCTACTTTATGGTTAGGCACGTATATCTTGTATGCATCATAACTTTTTGATACCTTCATAACTATTTTTTCCATAGTCACCTTTATGTTTACTTTACTCTCAATGTAATTCATTATGTCACATACAGACACCTCCTTGGGACACGTTATAAATATAAATAGCAGTGTTGACAACCGCTGCTCTGAACTTTTGATTTGGATCTGTGGTAGCTTTTCTTATATTTCCTACAAAGCGGTTTTTAAGCCTCTTACGTTGCACTGTTACCCATTTTTCATCAGGAGCCGGTTGCCTCCATACTCCGCCGCGAGAAATATTGGCTAACGATCGTTGCATAGGCACGGCAGTACAACAGTCGACCTTCGCGGCCGTGTGTTCGTCGCTCGCTTGCACCAAGCATGGCCGCGCGTGAGTCATCGTCTCTGTACTGCTCACTTGTTTGGGTTGTTCTCGCCCAGCTGATTCACCAACCGCTAATTTTTGAAACGCTGTTTATTTTTTTTTATAGGATATGGGTGACAAACGAGCACACAGTCCACCTGATGGTAAGTGATTGCTGCGGCCCATAGACATCTACATCTATCGTCGTTTGCGAATCAAAATGCAGATGCGTTGTCACCCGTGAGGACTAAGATGTAATGCCTCATTTCCAGTAAAAAGGGCTTCCGGCCACCTGCACTCACCAAACGAAACGCAGAGGTAAACCTCTACTTCACGCTGGTATTCTGTGAGGTCGTGGTACCACCCCGGTTCGAGCCGGCCCATCCGTGCGACAGCAAAAACTGCCGCGTGGCTCTACCACTGTTAATATTGCGTCTTGATTCTTGCGTCTTGATCCAATAAATTATTTGTGTTTACCATCGGCTGATACTCCAGTAATTGCTGAGGGGGTGACTCGTGTACAGGGGAAGTAGTGTTAACATCCTGTAAGGGATGTAACCCCATAGGTCCACTATCATGGGCAAAACTATTTAATAAGCAAACGCCTCGTCTAGTATTTACGTTGCCGGTGAAATGGTTTTCAGCCGATGTTTTCTTCAGGGATTCTAGATCAATCTTTATCTCCTCAAGCTGGCTAGTGGACACATATTGTTCTTTGATCACTTTTAGTTCAGCTTGAATCTTTATGATGTCTTTGAGGAGCCGTGTTACATCGACGTGGTCAAATAAAACCGGGGGTAATTTGTGCAATTCCCGCGCGACAAAAACAGGGAATTCTTCGGGTTTCGTCTCTTTGATAACACAGATAATATGTTCTATATTTCGCCTTGTCTTTCCTCGCCTCTTCCTGATTTTCTTTCGCCTTGAAGTCGTTAAAGAATCGAATAACAGATTCTTAGCGTTCACAATATCACCTTCCGAAAAAGCACTAGTACATATTTGTGCAATGCTAACTTCGTCCATCACATCCACTTTATTGCAAACAAAAGCTAACACTTCGTTGATTACAACGTTGCAGTTAGGACACTTCACTACTTTAGACGACATTGCGAAATTACAATGCACTCGATAATTACGCGTGACACGATCGGCTGTTGACGCACGCGACAGCAGACATAAATATGCCCTCTCCATAGGTATATATCTCTATGCGACGAATTCGCCAATGACTTATATTGGTCAATTTGTCATAGGCTGTATGGCTTAGTGCCTTTGCCTGCTCTCTCGAGCGAATAATAAAAACAACATTTGACTGTCAATGTCAAGTGTCAACGTCATTTTCGGTCAAATTGTCAGTTTGTCAAGGAGGCAACATAATTTATTGGAAAAAATAATCTATTCTATTGTGATTGTGCTAATGATTCATTCTGTGAGGTGTGAGAGCATTACATCTTTAAATTAAATTGGACAATTGATTGGCTCTAACTAATGTTTTATATTATACATTAACTTTAATTAAAATTATTATTATAGTGATTTTTGTTGTTTCGAATTCCCTTTCACAATGCCGGTGAGTTAAATTATTTGAACTTTATACGTAGTTACACTTGAAAAATATATAACTTATAATTTTTATACACTTTCAGGCATATCATTCGACACTAGTAGATTACACTCAATCAATTGGAAACCTAGCGTTATTGCCTATACGTACCACTTATCGTGGCCCGGCACCGATGAATCCCAAGCTAGAACTAGATGTTATTGACGAAGCACTCAACTACTTCAAGGCTAATGTATTTTTTAGATTTTATGAGATTAAGGTAAGTAATAATTTAAAATTAAAATTTTTGTACAGCCGACTTCAGTATAAGTTATTAAGAATAACTCAAAAACTATTCGTCTGACCTTGATCAAATTTATATGGGACCACACGAGAACTACCAGCTTTCAAACAAAAAAGAATCATTGAAATCGGTTCACCCAGTAAAAAGTTATGAGGTAACACACTTAAAAAAGAACATACAGTCGAATTGAGTACCGTCTCCAGTTTGGAAGTCTGCAGAAAAGTGGTTGCAATTGCAATAGTTATTAAATTTTGTTTGTTTTAAGTAAAATTACAGCTTGAAAATTACTAAAATAAATATGAGAAAAAGACATTTTTCACTTAAAAATAGAACCTCAAACAGTATCAATGGGGTTCAGTTTTATATATTTTATCTTGATAAAAAAGGGTGAAATGCTATTACAATGCTAGTAAGAGAGGTTATGCTATGATGAAATTTATTACCATAGTACAGCAAATTCTGCTACAAGGGCTAATTACCTGTTAACAATAGTAATTTTTGTTTATTATTTTATAGAATAAGAGAGATAAGTGAGCACACAGTCCACCTGATGGTAAGTGGATGCTGTGGCCTCTTGACATCCACATTTATTCTCTATTCAGAATTAAATGTAGAGGTATTAACACCTAGAGAATTAGGATGGTGTTCTGTGAGAGCGTGGTCCTTTCCCGGTCGAGCTGACTCATTTGTGCTACAACTATACTATTAATATAGCTGCAGCATGGCTCTACCACATATATTACACCCACTAAACTGTTTTAGTTTGAAATGTAAAAGAGCCAGTATAATAGCAATATGTGAGGCATTTCATTTTAGTCCTGAAGTGTGAAAATACATCTATATTTTATTTTGTCAGTTCCAAGTGTTCAGAAGCTACAGTATCCACTTACCATCCACTGGATGGATAGCTTGTTTGTCACTCCAATATTTAAAATTAAAACACTTGACAGGAGGTTCGGCAGTTATAGAAATGGATCATAATATGCAAGTTGCTAAATTCATGACCTTCTCCTTGTTAGATTTTAGTTAAAAGTTTATAGAAGTCAGTTATAGTTATATTGGTTTGAAGTTGTATTTAGAACTTGTATGATGCTTGCAATTATTACTGAACACACTATGAACAAATAATTTGAAGGAATTAGTAAGGAATTTTAACGGTGGTAGAGCCACGCAGCAGTTTTTGCTGTTGCATGTATGGGCCGGCTCGAGCCGGGTTGGTACCACGACCTCACAGAATACCGGCGTGAAGTAGAAGCTTTGCTTCTGCGTTTCGTCTGGTGAGTGCAGGTGGCCGGAGGCCCAATTCCCCCCCCATCAACATGGTAGCGGAATTACACGAAGAACTACCCCAGGAGGGTACCAGCACCCCTGGAGAATCCCTCGCTGAGCATCCACGACCATGTTATTCCGATCCTGAGCGTGGGTGCTCAGGCTGCCCCGCGTATTCTGGGGGGGGCAAAATTCCGCTCAAAAGCATTACTGCTAGGGGCAAACTGAGCAAGAACACCAAGGCGACCCCTGCCACGCTATCCGTGAATTTCTGCAACATCAGGGGACTTCACTCTAACCTAAACGCCGTCCACTACCATCTCGAGACGGCAAAGCCGGCCTTGCTCTTTCTGACCGAGACGCAGGTTTCCTCTCCGGCTGATATTTCGTATCTCTCCTACCCGGGGTACAAACTGGAACATTCCATTGTGCCTCGGGCTGGAGTTTGCGTGTATGTCAGAGAGGACATCTGTTCTCGATGCCTCGGCAGTCTTGAAGGTTCGGACCTGTCCATCCTTTGGCTACGCGTAGACAGCGACGACCATCCGCGCGTCTACGGGTGCCTCTATAGGTCCCATAGCGGTAATGCCGAAACAGACCGACTCATCGACCACGTCAAAATGGCTACAGATTTCTTGCTACAACAGGTCCCATCCGCAGAGATCGTGATCCTTGGCGATTTTAACGCCCACCATGCCGAGCCGAACCGAGCCATTTCGGTTCACGTCTAACCGATCATGCGGGGAGATCTGTTTATGACTTTGCCTTGGCATATGGTCTGACACAACTGGTTACTTTGCCTACGCGGATTCCAGATGTGGAGGATCATACACCTTCCCTGTTGGACCTTCTGCTGACCTCTCATCCGGACGGATATCTGGTTTCCGTCGATGCCCCTCTCGGCTCTTCGGACCATTGTCTGATCCGGAGTGTGGTGCCACTCACGCTCCCTTCGCGGTTGCGTTCTGCAGGTTGCCGCCGTGTTTGGCATTACAGATCGGCGGATTGGGACGGAATGCGGTCCTTCTTTGCATCCTACCCATGGGGGCGGGTTTGCTTCACCGGATGATCCCAGCGCTGTTGCTGACTCTGTCACTGATGTGGTGCTACAGGGAATGGAACTATTTATTCCATCATCTGTGGTACCCATCGGATGCAGATCTCAGCCTTGGTTTGGTCGCTCCTGTAAGACTGCATTACGCAGTAAGCAGGAGTGTTATCAAGCCTGGGCTGCGGCTTCGGCGACTCGGGATGTAAATACCAGCACACTTCAAAAGAAGTATAACTTCGCCTCCAGGTCCTTCAAAAGAGTTATTGCCAAGGCAAAGTCAGAGCACATAGGCAGAATTGGCGAGAAACTAGTTCGCCTTCCTTCGGGAACCCGTGCATTCTGGTCTCTCGCCAAGGCTGTCCAAGGAAATTTCTGTAAGTCATCACTACCATCTCTGCACAGGGAGGATGACTCACTGGCCCATGACGCAAAAGACAAAGCCGACCTTTTAGGCTCCCTTTTTGCGTCCAACTCGACTCTTGATGACGGGGGGAAAACACCGCCGACCATCCCGCGGTGTGACTGCTCCATGCCGGATGTGCTGTTCTCACAGCGTTCGGTTCGCAAAGCACTGCTCTCCCTGGACATCCAGAAGTCGAGTGGGCCTGACGGAATCCCCCCAATTGTGCTGAGGACGTGTGCTCCGGAGTTGGCACCGGTCCTAACGCGTCTTTTCCGGTACTCCTACTCCCAAGGCGTAGTCCCGAATTCATGGAAGACAGCTTTTGTCCACCCGATCCCTAAAAAAGGCGACCGCTCAGACCCATCCAACTATAGGCCTATCGCGATCACCTCCTTGTTCTCCAAAATAATGGAATCCATTATTAACTGCCAGCTCATCCGGTACCTTGAGGATCACCAGCTGATTAGTGACCGCCAATACGGTTTTCGTCGGGGTCGATCAGCTGGTGATCTTCTGGTCTACCTGACCCATAGATGGGCGGAGGCAGTAGAGTCCAAGGGGGAGGCGTTGGCCGTTAGTCTGGACATTGCGAAGGCCTTCGATCGGGTTTGGCACAAAGCGCTTCTTTCGAAGCTCCCTTCCTATGGGCTTCCCGAGAAATTGTGCAATTGGATTACCAGCTTCCTTGCAGATCGGAGCATCAAGGTCGTTGTAGACGGTGCATGCTCTGACTACAAGCCTATTAACGCTGGTGTTCCACAAGGCTGTGTGCTATCACCAACGCTGTTTCTTCTGCATATCAATGATATGTTGCTAACTGGTAACATTCATTGCTATGCGGATGACAGCACTGGTGATGCTCTATACACCGGCCGTGCCAATATTTCTCGGGAAAACGTCGCTGAGTACCGGAACAAACTTGTGTCTGAAGTCGAGTCTTTGCTGAACAAAGTCTCGGATTGGGGGCGACTAAATCTAGTCCAATTTAATCCTCAGAAGACACAAGTTTGCGCGTTTACCGCTAAAAAGAACCCCTTTGTCGTATCTCCTCAGTTTCAAGGCACTCCCCTTCTTGCCTCAGCCAGTATCGGTATCCTCGGAGTCGACATATCGAGTGACGTGCAGTTTCGTGGTCACTTGGAAGGGAAGGCCAAATTGGCCTCTAAAAAGCTTGGCGTGCTCAGCAGAGCGGGACAGTATTTCATGCCGGCACACCGCCTGCTACTTTACAAGGCGCAAGTTCGGCCTCACATGGAATACTGTTCCCATCTCTGGGCAGGGGCTCCCCAGTGCCAGCTCCTTCCACTTGACCGCATCCAACGCAGAGCGGCTCGAATTGTCGACGACCGAGCCCTTTCCGATCGGCTCGATTCATTGGCACTGCGAAGAGATGTTGCATCCCTTTGCATTTTCTTTCGCATCTACCATGGGGAGTGCTCTGAGGAATTGTTCGGATTAATCCCAGCCGCCAAATTTCACGAACGCACATCGCGGCAGAACTCCCGATACCATCCACACCATCTGGATGATTGGCGGTCCACCACTGTGCGATTTAGAAGATGTTTTCTTCCTCGCACGACCTCCTTATGGAATCGATTACCATCAGCGATTTTTCCGGACCGATACGACTTAGGGACCTTCAAGAAAAGAGCGTACTCCTTTTTAAAAGGCCGGCAACGCATCTGCGATTCCCCTGGTGTTGCAGTTGTTCATGGGCGGCGGTAGTCACTTACCATCAGGTGAGCCGCATGCTCGTTTGCCCCCTCTCCTATAAAAAAAAAAAAAAAAGAATGTCAGTGCCTATTATGTGCACTGTATATTGTAATAGATTCTGAAATGGTTGCTAGATTTATTATCACTTACATAGTTAATTTCAGTATTATTTCCATACTGTCTTTTTCTATTGTCATTTAGTAAAGAGGTTAACATTGATTTTTATGAGTAATGCTATTAATTTTTACTATTAATTAGTAATTTCTAATAATATCAATTGCATTGCAGTCAGATGCAGATAGAGTCCTCATATACTTAACTTTGTACATCTCGGAATGCTTGAAAAGATTGCAGAAATGCTCCAATAAAAATCAGGGCCAGCAAGAGATGTATATGCTTGCTATTTCAAAATTCGACATTCCAGGGGAGCCAGGTTTTCCTTTAAATTCAGTTTATGCTAAGCCTTCCAGTCCTCAGGAAGCTGGTTTGTAGTAAATGTTAAGATATTCCTTATTTAATTTTTTAAATAGCCAACAAAATTCTTACCATCTTAATAATATTTCAGATTTAATGAGACAGTATTTACAACAACTGAGACATGAAACAGGCAATAGGGTTTGTGAGAAGGTAAGGTGCTCTCTTTGTATTGTATACTTTATTTACTTATCTGTAACTTCATCCATTATATTAATTATTATTTTCTCAATGCAACATTCTCAAAAATATTGTCTGCGGTAATCCGACAAACATTTTGCACAGCAGTGTCAGGTTATCAAATTTGTCGGACTATAGAGTACTGCCATAGCCACCTGGTAGTCCGAAACTTTTTGAAAAGGAGTTCTTTGTAATCTGACAAATTACATATGAACTAATAAAAAATTTAAGTGATGCACAATGAATACATAAACAGTAAATAATGAATGCCTGCTATACCGCTACCATAGTCATATTTAAACTGAGACAATACGCCTCAAGCTAGATTCGTTGTGGCACGAAATAATCGCAACCTGTTTGTCCATGTATTCGCTACGGACACCTCCCCCCGCATCAGATTCATAATGTGACTCAATTGTACCTACATATTAAAGACATGTCAGATTACAAGAGGGGGAGAGGGCGGATTATCGGGTGTCCAATGTAGTTTTATAATCAGGATGTTCAATAAGAAGTGAGAATGAGTATGTTTTAAAACATACTCACACTTAGAATATCTTTTATGGAAGTTAAAAAAATTCTTTCTAAAGAACTTTTCTTAATATGGTTATGATAAATTCCTGTTCTGCAGCAACTTTCGCTTCATCATCTTCAAATGTCTGTCCACTCGGATACCTTCAATCTTGGAAACTACTAGGTGCCTATTATTTTAAATCCAGAATCTCAAATTGCTGCTATCACATTGTTGGTGAAAGAAAACAATTTTTGCAAGTTTCTGTCACCCATTTTAATGGATGTCATTTGTCCTGCATACAAAATGCAAAACAGTAGCTCCATGATCAAGACATTCAAACAATACTACCTCTTGAATATCCTCGAAAAATCCCATCCTTTTACCAGCAAAAAGACTTGCCTTGAACTTCTTAGGGACTTGGAGTTGATGGTATTTTCCAAGTTATAAACTATATTCTTTTTTTAAAATTTCATCCATTGTTATATATTTCGTCAATTATTATTAACAGAGCCATAAAATGATCAGTATCTAGATGCAGCAGTTCCAGATTAAGCAAACCTCGGGAAATATAGTGTGCATAACATTTTACAAAAGTTATACAATAGCCATGGGCGACAGTAGTCGCTTACAATCAGAAAGACTTCTCTAGTTTGAAATGGAAAAAGAAATAAACAGTTGTGATACATAATAATAGAAACTTTTTTTATTAAATAAATATTATAAAAAATAATATATAATTAAATGTCTTATATTTTATTTACCACATAAGAAAGCAATTCAAATGATAGAACCCATTCATATCTCCTTGTATAACCTGGGACCCTGGCACCATATAGATGATGTTACTAAAGCAAGCTCCTCATTAATTGCTTCAGTTAAATATATAAAAAATCATCTTCCTTGGTAGATGAAATTTTTCTGGTTTTTCTCTAAGTCTATTCTACTCCTACACCACTTATTAGGTTTTGTGTATTTTATGTTACCTTTATATTTTTACTTTGGTATTTTTAATTGAGAAGTCTATTTTAATTTTTGTTACAGGTATTTGCAACAGAAGATGGGAAGCCCAGTAAGTGGTGGCTTTGTTTCGCTAAAAGGAAATTCATGGACAAGTCTCTTTCGGGTCCAGGCCAGTAATTTTAAGAATTGATAATGTTAAGCGGTTAACAATCATAATTTTTTTTATTGTTTTGAATTATGCTGAACTGTTGACATGTTCGTTTTTTACAGTGTTTGTAACCGTTTTGTCATTATTAAATATGTTTATTCTAAAACTTGGTAAAGTATATCATAAAAATAGTATTGTAACTTTAAATATTTAATTTCATTATCGGATCAAATACATTATCTAGCATATTAAAAATGTTTTATTCCCTTTATTAGTTTAAGATATGCAGTCCAAAAAGCCAAAACGATAATCCAAGAAGTAAGAATAAAATACAAAAATATAATAAAATAATAACAGTACTCATAGAAGAATAAATGTCATGAAACGTCGTAATCAATCGCTTAAAGTCGCAGTAAAGCTTCGATCACACACAGCGAATATTACTTGTAGCGACAATTCGCTGCCTGCCTGTCACACACAGCTAATACTACACGAGAATTATCTATAATAGGTATCTTTTATATTCTTAAAATTTCTTTTCAATTGCTCTTGGGTTACTATTTCGAATCCCAATTCAATGAAGGCATCCACGACTTTTTCTGCCACCAGGGCGGCGCCACTAGAAAGTGAGGTATAATATTTGACAGATTTCAAAGCGGGGAAGTTAATTTATGCGGAAAATGTAAAGTTTATTGTTTCTTTCTGTACTATTAGCTATATTTTATACTAATAAGATTAAAAATAAATAAACCAAACAACAGATATAAAAAGTTAAAATTGTGCAAAAAAATTAAAGGCAAACCACTGACGCATTGTTTTGTGTATTAACATAATACTCTAGAAACTGATAAACTTTGATTTGAAACTAACTTCTCAATTAAATTACATTTTGTAACAAAAAACTTTACCTCAGTGTCAACTAGCGACATCTGGTGAGCAGAAAATTATTAACCCTCATTAACGCGTTAAACGATGAAGGCCTTTGTGTTTTTTTTAAATTACTGTTATTTGTTTCATAGAGCTCCCCATTTTTTTCTATACACACCCAAGAAACGAATTATATCGTAATTTCCCCATTTTAGAGAATCGTTTAACTCATTTGACTGTACTTACACACATGTATCATGCAGCAACGAAACGACCTATGCACAGGCGTGTAGTCTGGAGCAGAATGGCTACTCGCAGCAAATAGTCTGTCACACACAGCGCATTCTCGCAGCAAGTGCTCATTCGCAGAGAGTAAAATTGAACATGTTCAATTCAATTCGCAGCGAATTCAACTCGCGGCGACTGAATCTAATCACAGCGAATAGGCTAACACACATAGAGAATTCGCTATGTGTGACCGAGGCTCTTATTATATATCTTATTCTATTCCAACCTATTCTGGATACGTGGTCAAAGAGCCTACGATGTCTCATTGGTTTAATCAACTTAAGGGACCTGCTGCGCTGGCATCACTTGTGATGGTGAATGACAAGTGATATTTTAATGTATTCTTTCTATGTTATTGGGTATTGGAAATGTTATATCTATTTTTTAAGTGTAAGTAATTCACTTTTTACCCATATAACTCTAACGACTTAACCATATATATCGTCTCTAAGTATAATTTTGTGTAGGTAGCAAATATGTTTATAAATATTTTAATTCTGGTAGGGCTATCTAATTAAGCTCGTTTTTCTAAAATGTAGCTACAATCGGACATCCTTCTTTGAGTTTACTGACATCTAGTTATAAAAATCGCATCGGGCGATAAATGCGTTGGTTTGTAACTATTTTTCTTTTACATGATTATGAGTTATGTCATACGAGTGAGAGATGGTAAGTGGATGTTGTATATGTTAATATATATATATATATAAATAATATATATATAAATAATATATATAAGAAACAAAATGCACATACGTTGTTACTCTTAAAGATTAATATGAAAAGCCTTTTTGCCAGTGTAAGGCCGGCCACATACATACGGAATTCCGTTTCGGAATCCCGAATCGGGATTCCGTGAATACATCACACACATACGTTTTTTTCTGTTCGGAATAACAAGGGTCAGTTGAGAGACGTTAGCCATTGCGTCTAGACATTCTGCCAGCGAATAATGACGACGATTTTCTATTTGTCATTCCATTGTTGCTGTATCATTCTTACTAGATGCATCCCCTTATCACCCTAAGCTTACAATATAGTCAATACTATGTAAAAAGATCTATCTATCCAGAGATATTTTTCAAATATTTATGTATGTAAATTCTTTCGACTAAGTAAGATTGAATTCTAATAACCATGTGATCGCTTTCATCACGTTTTTTAATTCTATTATATGTAAAGGTTAGAATTCATTTTATTAAATTCAACAGAAGATAATTTAAAAAAAACCAGTAATAAAGGTCGTTGATAGTTGTCGGTTGCACATCTGTAACGAGGCGGTTGAATACACAGAACCAACGAATAATTTAACCCGTTTTATTTATTCTGTTCTGAGATACTGCTATATAGGTAAAATATAGTAAAACTAGGTAGGTACCTACCAGCACAAGCCTGTTTCAATTACGACAAATCAGGTGAAGCTGCGGAACGCAACAAGTTATGTAATGTAGTAATTAGTTTGTATCTTTGTATATAAAAAAAATGATTACGAGGAATACTGGTAGAATATAATGTTATGATATTATTATTTAAATAAATGTTTTCATCATCATCATCATTACAGCCCTTCACAAGTCCACTGCTGATGAACATAGGCCTCCCCCTAGGAATGCCACAAAGCACGGTCCTGAGCCACCTGCATCCTTCGACTTCTTGCATGTCTTACCAGGTCGTCAATCCATCTAGTGGGGGGACGCACTACACTTCCTCCGCCGGTACGAGGCCGCCACTCGAGAACCTTTCTCCCCGATCGGTTGTCGATTCTTCGAGCTATATGGCCGGCCCATTGCCACTTTAGCTTACTAATCCGTTGCGCTATGTCGGTCACTCTGGTTCTACTGCGCATATCCTGCGCAGTAGAACTAAATATATATATAATATATTTCTAAGTTTATCACGCAGAGAAACTCCGAGCATAGCCCTCTCCATAGCTCGCTGAACGACCTTGAGCTTCCTCATCCGGCCAGCAGTGAAGGACCACGTCTCAGTTCTATAGGTCATCACTGCCAACACGCACTGGTTGTACAGTTTCGTTTTCAACTTTTGAGTTATACCTGATTGAAGATGTGCCGTAATTTCCCGAACGCTGCCCAGTCGAGTTGAATCCGTCAATTGACCTCTCGGTCGAAGTTGGACTTACCTAGTCGGACTATTTGTCCCAGGTAAACATACTCGTCAATAACTTCGAGCTTAGTGTCCCAACAACTACGCATAGGTGTGACATGGACGTTATACATGATCTTTGTTTTGTCCATGTTCATCTTAAGACCTATCCGTTGGGAGGCACTATTGAGGTTATTGAGCATAGTGCTTAGGTCCAGCGATTCTGCCATAAGGACTATATCGTCGGCAAATCGAAAGTGAGTGATGTACTCGCCGTTGATGTTAATACCGTATCCTTTACAGTCCAGAAGCTTGAAAACGTCTTCCAATGCGGCGGTGAAGAGTTTCGGTGATATAATAACTTCACCCTGACTTACACCTCTCTGCAGTTAGATAGGTTTCGTACTCTGATTCTGTACTCGGATAGTCATCGTAGCCCTACTGTACAAACACTTCAGCACTTCGATATACCGACAGTCAACTTGGCGCCGCTGAAGGGACTGTAGCACCGCCCAAATTTCGACGGAATCAAAGGCTTTCTCATAGTCCACATACGCCAGGCATAGTGGCAAATTGTACTCCTCGGACTTATGTACAATTTTACGAAGGGTATGTATGTGGTCTATGGTGCTAAAGCCTTTTCGGAAACCGGCTTGTTAGGGAGGCTGGAAGTCGTCGAGTCTGCATGCGAGACGATTCGTAATGACTCTCTAAAACAGTGCGTAGACGCGGCTCAGAAGGGAAATCGATCCGTAGTTCTTCAAGAGAGCGTTGTCGCCTTTCTTGAAGAAGAAGACCACCACACTTCTGCTCCACGCCTCCGGTGTAGTGCCACCATGGAGGACGGAATTAAAGAGCTTCAGAAGGACTTCAAGTACCGGTTTTCCACCCGCTTTCAGAAGCTCCGCTGTAATTCCATCCTCGCCTGGGGCCTTGCCGTTTTTAAGGTGCTGGAGAGCTATTCTAATTTTGCTCTCTCGACTGGCGTCCGGAATATCAAATGTTTTAGTGACAACCTATGTATATGACAGTACTCATGGGACGATATGGAGTGGTGGATATTCTTACACCGCCAAAGTAAAAATAGTACCATGTACACGTTAAAAAGAGGTTGTCAACCCCTAAAAATTTCAAATTTTCAAAATATCCAGAAACGAAGCTGCATGCATGAACTACTCGCAAAATAATGAATATTTTGTTGGGGATAAATTTTCCAAAAAAGCAATTTGATAAGTTATAACGACACACAAAAGTAATCGATGACACGCCTGGCGTGTCACCCGCACTGAAATGGTTAAGAAATAGGTTGTATTCTTGACCTATTTCTTGAATGCGTTTGTCGTTCGCTAATAAAAACAAGGACTATTGATCGAAACTTATGGCAAACTGCTTCTGTAATCGATTTCCAAATCAATCTAAAAGCAGATTTAAAACAGCTTGTGTAAAAATGGGCACATCGCCCATGGTGGACATATCCACTATTTCTAGTCATAACATACTTATTAGGTATTTTGCAAATAAAATAATTACTTATAATTATATAATACTTTATTTTTGTAAAATAAGTATATAAATGGTTACATAAAAAGTATGAATTTATACTTTATTTGTATATCAAAATCCTTATTACCTACCTATAATAACTTTATTTTAAAAGTGATGTGTTTTAGAAAAAGTGTAGATAAAATATTGCAAGGCAAAAAGGTGTTCTTACTTTACTATCGTGAACTAAACAAACTCAGTATATAATATGCTGTATGATTGCAAATATATTTAACTGAATTTTAATTATTTTTAACCTGCTAAAGTATTAAGATATAGTTTAAATAATAATAATATGTAAAATTACGTAAAAATTGCACTACATTCGCTTAAGAATTTGTCTGGCAATTAAAAGTCTTGGAATTTGTGCAGTTCCTGTTTATACTCCATTCTTTTTAAGAATCTGTGCGGCGGTTCTAAGGTTACTTCAAATATCTCGGTTGTTCTAGCATCATGATAATTAAATCTCATCTTTACCCGTTACAGTAATATTATAATATTATGGCTTATATTAACTTATTTTATATTCGCTCACGGGGGGGGAAGGACACACAAAGATTTCCTACCATTTTGGCAGCGAGATTAAAGACCTCCATCTGGCAGACAATGAAACTATGTTCACGTTTGATGTACAGTCTCTGTTCACATGCTTACCTGTTGAAGACTGCATCTCAATTGTAACTAGAAGGCTGGAGGAAAACAATATGCTCGTAGAATATGCAGTATTACTCGGACACTGCATTACATCTGGCTACCTATTGTGGAAGGAAGAGTTTTACAAGCAAGTAGATGGTGTGACGATGGGCTCACCTGTATCTCCCATTGTCGCCGATATATTCAGGAAGACTTTGAGAAAGCCCTACTTACTTCCCCCGTAAACCAAGATTCTACAAGCAGTACGTAGACGACACGTTCACAATTCTACCTTTAAATAAAGTAACTGCATTTTTAAACCATCTTAACTCCATAAATACTAAAATTCAGTTCACAATAGCGTTAGAGGTGGACAAATATTTAGCTTTTCTAGATGTGTTAGTAATTCGGAATCCTGATAACACCTTGAGCCACACTGTTTATAGAAAAAAGACCCATACAGATTGATATTTAAAAGGTGATTCTCATCACCATCCTTCACAGTTAGCTATTGTGGGTAAATCTTTGTTTCAGGGAGCACGAGGGATCTGTGACAGTAAACACCTGGCCGCCGAGCTCCAACATGTCAAGCAAGTTTTTCACATCAACAAGCTTCGGGTCCCGCGCCTACGTCACAGTGAACGAGTGAAGCCGGCCACAGCCGAGCGAGTGCCTGCTGTACTGCCATATGTCAGAGGTGTCACTGACAAGATTGGCTACATCTTGAAGCATGCTTCCATTAAAACATACTTCATGCCGCCAAAGAAGATTAGTCAGTTTTTACCATCAGTCAAGTGTAATGTCCCTCTGGAAGATGCAGGAGTGTACAAGCTTGATTGTGAATGTGGTCTCTCTTATATAGGACAGACTAAAAGATCAATGAAAACCCGCATTAAAGAACACATAGCTGATGTGAAGAATCAACGCTCCGGTAAGTTAGCAGTCTGTGAACACGTATAGAATTACCCCGTCACTATATTAGATTTAATGAACATGTATAGAATTACCCCGTCACTATATTAGATTTAATAAACCATAAATCCTTGCTAAAGAACACAGATTCCTTCCAAGGATGATTTGCAAGGCTATTGAAATCAAAAAACTTCCTAATTTCAGTAAAGAAGGGTGCTACCATCTGCTTGGGATCCTATAATTAATAAAATTAAATCCCAACCCAAGCATACAACTGCAAGACTTCAAGATACTGTAAGTTCATACTGTGTAGATCGGAACAAAAATTAATAATTTCAATCTGGAGATAGCCGTGGTTATTCGTATAGGATGTCAAACACCTCAGCCCCCCCCCCCCCCCCCCCATGACCATGGGTGCTGTAGTGCTCGAAACGTCGGGAATATAAAATAAGTTAATATACGCGCTAAAAACCGTAAAACTAGTTTTATTTAAATATTATAATATATTTTATAATATTAACAATTATAATCCATACTCTTTAAGAATCTGTCCGGCAATAACAAGTCTTTGAATTTCTGAGGTTCCTTCATATATCTCAGTGATTCTTGCATCGCGATAATGTCTTTCTGCTGGCATATCTGTCACATAACCCATTCCCCCAAGAATCTGAAAATAGAAAGAAATCTTTGAACAGAAAAAACTGGAATGAGTTGCCAGTATCTATCTATCCATCTGACTAGAATGTGGTTTTCTTCAAGCCAAGAGTGAACAGGCTTTTGTTGAGTAATGTCAGTGCATTTTATCATTTTTTGCTGCATCACCTCTTACCATCAGGTGGCATAGCGGTCAAGAACTGGCTTAGAATAGTTAAAAAAAAACTGCAATACAATGAACAAAATGTTTTACAATTAAAACAAGCACTGCTATTTAATTTTCGATTTAATTTTCCATAAAAGCCCTACACTCTTAATGCACACTATATTACAAAAATATAATAAAAGGTATTTTTTAATACTGAATTTAGTTTGGATAATATAGAGAAAAGTTAATTACCTGAATACACTGATGAGACAAAAATGTAGCAGCTTCTGATGCTGCTAACTTAGCCATAGCTGCCTCCTTTATAAATTTTTGTTTGTTATCCTTTAACCAGGCCGCACGCCAAGTAAGCAATCTGGCAGATTCTAACTTTAGTGCCATATCTGCAAATTTGTTCTGGATGGCTTGTAACTTAGAAATAGGTTTGCCAAATGCTATTCTTTTCGATGCATATTCTACAGCTACATCCAAGGATGCCTGTCAAAATTTAATATTAATTATGAACATTGTAATGAGTAATTAGCTTATAAATTTAAAATATATATATAAATAGGAGTATTTGTCACCCTCATTTTGCTGTGGAGTTCTGTGGTAGCTCCGGAGCTAAGTACCTGCTGTATATTTCACAGTGTGTGAACAACCTTAGCTTGATCCTCGTCAACACCAATGAAATTGTTACTGTTACAGCCTAAAGTCCACTGCTGAACATAAGCCTAACCCATAGATTGCCTCACAGGGGGGATATTTGCCATAGTTGCCACACTATGCAAGTGGTTTAACAACTGCACTTTTTTTTACTGTAGATGCTGCTGCCCATGTGATTATTTAGTAGTAGATATTTGTACACCAGAAAATATGTGATAAATAATGAAATTGTTTTTGCAATTTTAATGCTGAGTTATCAGTCACATGCTAAGTAGTGAAAGAAAACACCTGTGAGAAAACCCGCATGTCTAAGAAATAAAATATTTTTAAGACGTGAAGTTTACCAACATGCACTGCAATAAGCACAACAGACAAATTTTTCCATAACTCAATTAGAAATAAGAGGAAGCCTATGCCCAACTGTGATACCAGTATTAAAGGCTGTAACTATACTTTCGTTTTTAAACTTTTATTTATTTCTTTAAACTTAATGCACAACATAGTACTTAATGCCAAAGGGCATTCTCTACCATTCATCCATTAAGCCAAACGGAGATAAATATATGAGTTAGTGAAGCAAATATATAATTAGACTGCAATGATCAATAACTATAAAGGTATTCATTGTGAATAAATTGTATATATAGCTGGTATACAAAATTAAAAAGATATCATTGTTTACATTAGCGCCTGCGAATATCGGGCAACATCCCTTATGGACCCTGTCATATGACATGTAAAAAAAAGGCTATCTGCATAAGGGGATAATCAGCAAGAATATTATTTACTTTTTACTCAATGGCTGAGTAACATTTTTTTTAACTTCTTATATAGTTTTATAAAAATAAATAAATAGGTAGGCAATAACTTCATTACTCAATTTTAGCTATACAATGTCTCAACAAGATATAAAATATTAACAAATAAATAAGCAGAAATAGTTGCAATAAAGAATGTCATGCAGAAAGGCATATCATATAACCTAGCCAAAATATGAAGTTAGAGTCTTATAAGTACCTGGGCTATACCTAATGCTTGTGCTGCAATACCAATTCTGCCTGCATCTAATGTCATCATAGCTATTTTAAAACCCAAACCAGGCTCTCCCAAGATACTGTCCTTTGGTATCTCACAATCTTCAAAAATAAGTGAACAAGTTGATGAACCTCTAATACCTAATTTATCTTCCTTTTTACCTAACTCTAAGCCTTTAATTGGTTTAGGTACAATAAAAGCTGAGATGCCCTTGTGTTTTAGGCTTTTATCAGTTGTGGCAAACACAACAGATGCTTTGCTCTCATAGCCATTAGTAATCCAACATTTTGTACCATTAAGAATCCACTTATTTCCTGCATCTTTGGCTGTAGTAGATGCAGCTCCAGCATCTGATCCATTCCCTGGCTCTGACAATGCAAAGCAACCAACATTGTCTCCTAAAAGGATAATATAGTATAAATTTTAAATCATTTATAAATTTACTGCTTTAGTCCTAAGTTGTAAAAATGAAACAAGTTGAAAAAAATTACATTGCCAACAAACCCATGCAAAAAGGTGTTACAAAATCCTTTTTCTGTTTATCGGTACCACATAGCATGATAGGACCAAGGTATAATGAATTATGTGCAGACATAATCACTCCTGCCGAGGCACAGCCCCTTGATATTTCTTCTAAAGCTATAGCATATGCCAGATAATCTAGACCAGCCCCACCCAACTCTTCTGGAGTAGCTATTGCCATAAGGCCAAGTTCACCCATTTTTTTAATTGCATCAGAAGGGTATTGGTGATTTCTATCATACAAAGCAGCATTGGGTTTTAACTCTCCTTCAGCAAAATCTCTGCAAGTCTTAAACAACATTTGATAAGTGTCAGGTAATGCAGAAAGTGAAGCTATGCATCGGGACTGATTTGATGAAGATGCAACTGTAAAAAATACGACACGTAAACATTTAGGTATTATCAACAACTGTCTAAATATCATATACAATTATACAAAACTACATAATATAGTTAAATTAGCTCCATAAACTTTATTCTTACCAAGAAAGTTTACCCTTTTTGAGAAAATATTCAACATTTTGGGTAAAAAAACAAAATACCTAGGTCAAAATAAAAGTAAAATTTGAATAACACACTCCACTTTTAATACTCCCTTTGTTGACTAATTAAACCTATATGTATATTAGTTGAAATTTAATTTATCTCTATTTTATAAATGTATTTGTAAACTTGTAATCACAGAACACTAATACCCTTAGGCGGGCTTGTAATAAAAATAAATCAACCTTTGACTTCCAGTTTATAAAAAGTACTCTGTGCCTTTGACACTTTGACTTTGATTTGATACTTTGATAGGCAAGCACAGTCCAAAGAGAATATAATCCATAGATTATTGTATTTAAACAAGAGAATATAATCATTACGTTGGCACCACGTTGGCACAAACTAAAGATGCCCATTAACGATACGTCAATCAATCCAAAGTAAATGGATGTCTTCCAAAATAGTTTCGTGAATGTGAAAAACGTATGCCACCTTTTCATCCATTTTCTCTTACGTTTTTTCTGCCTCTTTATTGAAATACACACTGCTGTTGCCAGTTGCCACCATTAAAAAATCCATTGTATTATTTGTTCGGTACGTGTAATTGAACAGCGTGCAACATTCAAAGTGACGGCGTGTACCAAAGAGAATATAATCACTACGTTTAGCGTGTACGTCCAAATGGGAGTATAGTCAACGTGCCTTTAATCTGGAGTACTTCTATTAGGAAGTATCTCATTTTGAAGCATTCCAAACAAACTTATCCTCAACGGGTACCTTAATATGATGCGTAGACAGAGAATCCAACTGTCTACGAATATGATGCTTATTGCTTACGCTTAAGAGCCATCTTACACTTTGGAGTTACTTAAATTTAGGTAGATTACGCATCAAGCGGGCGGCGAGCTACGCGAGCGATACTTTCTTTGAGTGAGTATGGTGATTAAACGATCTTGATCTTCCATAATACAAGTTTTCTTAGGATGGAGTTCAGTAGATGGAATAATTTTTGGTGTATCCTTGTAATGTTAACTTATTAATTTATTATAATCTATTTTGATATATTTTTCATTATTTATGAAATTTAACTGAAATAAGTACACAAATATTTTAATTCTTACACAGCAATCGATTGTTAACAATCTATTATGTCTACTACCGGTAGCATATTGGTATAAATAAATAGTACGGTTGCAACCTGTTTAAATAAATAAAACAACCAAATGTATCTAATATTTTTTTTATTGGTACTTACAGTCAATTAACATATTTTTTTATTAGAAAAATATTTGACACAACGGCATTGACCGAGCTTTTCTCGAGTCGATAATTTCAGGCATTACACACTTTTCATAAACAGCTTGTAACTCGGGTAACATATACAAAATCCAAAATTGGTCGTTTTTGTAAATTTTTAGTACTTTTACTGCATAATCTGGACCAGTACATATGGCAAGTATGCAGACATTTTTATTTGCTAAATGAAGCTGGCCTTGGATTTGGTAAAACCAGTCATGATTTTGATTTAACGTTACACCTAAATCACTGAATTTAAAACCTTTAACTTTTTTTGTTCTAACGGCCGTATCAAAGTCTATTCCGAAAGCTGAAATAGGACATTTGACTTCAATAAGATCGTCACTGTATAAACCATTAGGTGAAGCCCTAAATAACAATGATCTGGTTGAATGAATAGACCACATTTATATAATAATAATATTTCCTTGTTTGCACAATGGGGAACACAAAAGGGTCAAAATATTAGTACCAAATACTATTAAAATTGTAGCAAAGATCATGTACATTACATTAGTTTTTATTTCACTTCAATAAATGCAGTATTTCCCAAGTTATAACGACGAGAAGTTTAAGTCTTTTTTTGAATTTCAGAGATTACGCGCGCTTACACTATGACGTCACACACCCGCAGATCGCGACCGCAACACAAACGCGGTGCTCGGTCCGGTGCGATTTGACCAAATTACGCGGGTTTCGTTTCATTTTCTTTCGATCGTCTTTGTGCTTGTATTTCAAAGAAATAATATTATCCTCTAAATCCGATTACACTAAAGTGAAACGTGTAGTGCTAAAATGGAAGAAGGTTTTGTAAAAGGACAGTCGGTCAATCTGCCCAGAGTGGATTAGTTTGATGGTGGCACAATATTTCATGAAGAGTCAGGATTTCATGGCTGCTAAAATTCGTGGAATAAAGATGAAAAGATACGTACCTATGTTCTAAGTAAGCATTAGGTACCTACTCTCCTCGGTAAGCATTAGGTTTAAGTTTGAACAAATACCTATGTAGGTATTTATACAAACTTAAACCTAACTGAAAGTTTGTGTGTTCATTTAATACTTACCTAATATGGGTGGCGTTAAAAATACTAGGTACTAGGCATGAGACCGATATATCAAAACGTAACTAATAACGTTATGTTATCAAATATCATATCATATCGATAAACCTAAGAACATAACCGTTATCACATATCCAACCAAAACCCAAAATCAACTAACCAACGTACGAAACATAAAACGCAAACTGTAAAGATACGCCAAAAACCGAAAACTGCCCAAAACCAAAACTAACCGATGTCCTGTGATTCGTTGTTTCTCGTTCTAGCGACAGTATCATAAATACGTATGAAAGAGATGAAGCGAATATGGATTTCGTTGCGATGTTTTGGTTATCATAAAACGGGTCACGTAGTGAAATATAATTATAAAAGTCTTAACAATAAGGTCGACTTTTAAATGGTTAAAATTGCCTAATTTTTTAAGTTTGTGTAGTTGTGAGAGTTGTCAGATTTAAATGATCTTTAGGACATTAGGCACTAGACTTAGATTTGTTTCATCACATTATATTTCGTTTAGGCAACTTTTGTTTACAATACAAACAATTACGCACTTGATATTGGTGGCGTGTGCCGTTCACTATGAAACTATCTGTAAAATTATCAATTTTTGACGTTGCGTTTGTACATTTATTTGTAATATTTGTTTGCATTTTGTACATTTGTTTTAAAACTTTCCTGTCAGTCCTAAGCCTAGTTAAGTATATGAAGGTAAATCGCCAACTTAAATACACATTATAAAAAATAATGATTATTAATATAATAATAATGTTCGCGCTAAACACTTTCAATGATTGACGCGAGAGGGCGCTTGGCGCGGTGCATTCATACCGGTTTGACTTTCGGTCGTGCGAAAAACGCCCAAGCGCAGTCAGTCGTCCTTAGGCAGTGCTCACGATTGGCACTCTGTCATTCTGTTAGGGAACTCGGAATAATTAGGTGCGGCCCGTAAATATACGGTCTAGGATTTTGTGACGCGCATTCCTGCTGGAGAGCTTCCCGGGACTTATTGGGTCCGACTCAGAATCTGTATAAGTGCATTCGACAATATTAGCTAGTGCGGCCTCTGATATTCTAGAACTAACTGTTGCAACGCGAAACGGTAGCGAACTTTGGTCCAGAGGCTCCGTGTTTGTTTTGTGCGGTAACCTTATACCCCGCGATAGTTAGTGGCTTCTGTAAGTTAGTTAATTGCACGATAGAGTTAATTGACTGTCATCGTGACGAAAGAGGAAAGTAATTGTGGTCCGGCGCCGAAGCAGTCTGAAGCGGTGCAGCATTTTGGAGCAGCCTGGAACTCGGCAGCGGCTGGTCGCCCATGCTTGACAAGGCCCCACACATTCACCCCTCACTGTACACTACTCTCCATCCACTATTACACACACTCACGGCCTGCCCAAGCCTTGGTGCAAAGTTAGCTTCGGATAATGGTAAGTACTATGTCTTTCTAGCGTCCTCCCATCTGGTTTATTGTAATTAGGAATTTCCACGTGGCCATATTCTGGCCCCGTCCCTCTGCTGCTCGTCGATGGGATTACTCATGGGCCCTAATCCCGTCAGCCTTGGTTGGGGCAGCTAGGGGCGTGTACATTCTGGTAGCAGAGCGTGGTTCCGGGTTCGATTCCCGGTCGATCCCGACCATAGTGTTTGATAAACATTAAACAATTCTGGTGGCAGGGAGCGTTGGTTTGATTGGTTTAATTTGTATCTTCAATCACGACCGTCCGTAATACGTAAAAATATTTTTTTGTACGTAATAATAGAATTATTTCCCTTTGTTGTTTCTTGCTTGCCTTTTTTTGGTTAGTAGGTAGTTTGAAAAGCCGCGCCCTAGGTTGCGCAAGCGGGAGTTTTTCTAGAGATATACGTCATGTAAGTAGATGGTTATTTTACGTAATCGGTTAATTATAGTTGTCGGATAGATGTAGTGGATTACTTATCGAAGGTCAATTTCCGAGCTAGGCATTTTTTGTTGATCGACTGTGATGTGTATCTTCGTTTATACTGCAATTTGTATTTGAACTAAAGAGTAGTAATTGTATTTGCGCAATTTGAATTTAACTTGATTTGATCGCACTAGTATTTGTTATTTGTCAATTTGATTTGTGTCTTTTCTTTTGTGCTAACTTGTATTTGGTTGATACGTAGTAATTCGTATTTGTGTAATTTCTATTCATCGCGATTTGATAGGAACTGCATTTATTAACTGTTAATTTTTTGTTGTATTTTTTATTTGTTATCTTTGTAATTTGTGCTCGAGCCGCGTCGTAATTTGTATTTAATAGTGATGTCATCGCCCAAGCTACTGATCCGTTGTCTGCGGACTGAGTTGCACTGGGCCACAAGCGCCCATGCTTTGATAGGTCGACCGGATAGGGTCCATAACTTGATGAAGCGGTTCGAGCAGGTGGATGCTCGAAGGGCCGCAGTGGAGGAGGCTTACGCTGAGCTCGAGGATTCGGATGTGGAGAAGGGAGTCCTGGACTCCTGCTTCGCGGACTATGAGCAGTTCTTGTGGCTCACGGACGAGTTGATCGAGGCTGAAGGCAGGCATGCCGAGGAGGCGCGTGAAGCTCGGATGTGTGACTTGTCCGAGTCCTCTCTGAAGCAGCTTCAGCCGGAGCTGTTGGGACGACTCCCAACTCTGGACTTGCCAAAGTTCTCCGGGGTCCTTTCCGAA